AATTAAAGTTCAGACGGAGGGCAGGAGGCAGAAGTTAATGGAATCGGCAATAAAAATGGTGGTCCAGAATGTCTGGTAGCCGGCGAGCGGTGACACCGCGCCGTGCCGCCCCGCGCTGCTGAGAGGAAATCAGAACGGGGAAATGGCGAGGCGAGCTCAAGCGAGAAAAGATGTTTTATTGGTAGAACTGTCGGGAGGTGTGAGCCATGATTTATTTTAAAAGCTATCATCAGGGGTAGTAAACCGCCGTGCTCAGGAAAAACGCCTTCTGAACATGCAGACTTTGCCAAATTTCTTCCCACAAAATATCTATTTCAGCGAAAAGTTACCGGTATTTTTCTTTGGAATTTTCAAATACGTTAGATTTATCCGCAAATAAGAATGTGTGGAAAAAAATTGAAGAAAAATGTGCATTTTTGAGAAGAAAATTTGATTTTAATCGTAAGAAATTTGGCAACGTCTGAATTTTCTTACGGCGTTTTTCCTGGTAGGGGATTTCCGATTCCCGACTTGGAATATGCATGTGCGGCGGCCGGAGGCGTGGGCAAGGGTGAGGGGGAGGATTTGTCGATGCCGTTACGCGAGTAGTATAACCCGAGACAGCAAGGCGCGCTGTTAAAACAAAACTTCAGTTTTATGGTATTTTCCGAGAGGAAGACTTACTCTTCGAGTTAATCGTTTTCCAATACCCGGCTATGATTTTGATTACGTTACAAACCATTTACTTGAAATATAATTTTCTTGTTTCTTTTGGCGCTTCCTTCCTCGTCTATTAGTTCGACCGTTCTTCCCTTGTTTCCTTCACTCTGTATTCCACGGACCGGGCGCATAAGAACTTGATCTCGAAATTGCAACTCTCCAATTTCAAAAGATAACTTTGCAGTTTGATTCCTCCCATAGAAATAATAGTCACCGCTTTTTTTCCTTGACCCGTGGCAAAAATTTACCGTGTCGGTAAAATTATAGAACTTCAATTTGACAGCTACGGATTGACTTTTATCACGGTTACCGAGCAGCACGATGACATTGAAGTTGAATTATTCGGAAGTTTTACTTATTCGGCAAATGGCGATCCAAAGTTTACAAAAAAGTACCTTAAAACTTTAGCTGCTTTCTGGTTGGCCCTGAAACTTCTTAAGACCAAAGTTTCCCAAAACCAAATGCTTTCGGTCAGATTTTTCATTAACCAAGTACATACGTGAATGAGTACAATTACCATAAGGATGCAGATGGGTAGATGGATCAAACACATCGTGAACTAAAAAACTTAGAAGGAGGGAAACTCACTGCTGAAGCTTTTTTATTGATATTTTCCAAATCATTATATGAAGTAGGAAATAATCCAACGGTTAGAGTTTTTGACAGAATATGAAAGCAAGGAACTAATTCACGAATCTATTGAAGAATAGAACAGCTCGAAAGTTGAATTGAAAAAGGACGGCTTCGGTGGAGGAGGTTTTAAGTAGAAGTTCATTATGAGCAAACATTCTCTTTATCGTCCCTCAGGGATCTCCAGGATGAGATCATGCTTAAGTGCATCATTTTATGGGAAAGCTATGATTCATCTTCCTGCTTTTCTCCTGCAAACAAAGAAAGAAAACATTTATAAACAAAAACCACACTTAGCAGCGGGGTGGACTAAAAGGTATGTTTTTATTTCGAGAGAGATGATCCCAAAGTTCCTCGGTTTACTCCAGAAAGGAGACCCTGGGGACTAATGATCCATTCTGCGAAAGCTGTTTTTAAAAGCACGGACTCTGAGACGCGAAGTGCTACCTCCATTCTGAATTTGTGCTTTTTAGTTAATTTAGGTAAACTCACAATGAATTCCTCCAATATAGTCCAGAGGGTCATCATCTGCAATTATCGAATAGATTACACTGAAAAAAAAGGATTGCTAATTCACCGATTTAGGGTGGAGCAAAATTTGCTTCACTTCGTAAAGTTTTCTTATCCGTGCACGGTGTTGAATCAAGTCAACGACTAGCACGAATTGCTACACCGATTTGCTACATCTGCGCGCCTTCATGCAGTTAATCTTGCATCGAGTGGCTTGGAAGTGTAACTGCATTTTTTGGTATTGGCACTTTGCGAACAGTAAAAATAGCTCAATAATTAGGCTGAAATAGCGGAATTTACGGAAAAATAGCGAAATTTACGGAAGAATAACTAAAAAGGTAACAGACGTAGCTTTTCAGAGAGCGAAATCACCTACACGCGTGTGTGTAAGTTAGCTGAAATTTGTGTAGCGATTTTACCTATGCATGGTTTGCACGTTCGTTTTTTAGCTACACCATGCCATGAAATACCCGCGTGCAAGGCAAATTCAGCAATATTTTTTTTCAGTGTATGGTAGGAGATTTTGCGGTCAAAAGTGACTCTCCTTGTCAAATTTCTTTTAAAATAAAAAAATGATGCGTCTGTTATATTGAAGACCCCTCATAAATGACAGGTTGCAGATAGTATTGTTTCTGCTCTTGTAATTCCTGTTATCATATCATTATATTTGAAGTTTAAGATTTGTTTTTAATATTTTACGCGAAAGATGAGGGACAAGGGCTTAGGTAAACCATAACTTAAACTAGTTTAGCGTAAAGAATTTATATTTCACAAATTGGGTTTGATTATTCATTTCACATGTTTGTATGTATCGTGGCTCAGTCATTACTTCTACAGGATCGGAGACTCGCGAGATTAAAAATACGGGAACACGCCGGTTCATGGACAAGAATTTTAATGAGAGAAAACAAAACAAAAAATAAAAATAAAATAAAATGAATTTAGTGAAATGAGTGCACTGCGACTGTACAACAATTCCGTTAACGTAACAATACGTAACATATTAAAACGTACGGGTGTGCAAAAAGCCATGCACTGACGCTTGTTCGCTCGTTTTGAATTTTAATTATTCGGGCCCGTAAACGCGAGAAGGTTTTAACGCATACCGTACAAAAACCCTGTTAACACTCTTCGATAAGTCAGTTCGCGCAAAAAAAGCTTCTAGTGTAACTCTAGATGTCGCAAAATTAAATCTTCTTGGCTTCTCCTCATTTTCCACGGGCAGTTTAACATTTCTCTAAATCTCTTTTTCTCCTTTAATCAACGTCCAATGATTATTTTTCTCCTTACACAAATATCCGAATTACAAAATAAAGAATGTCAATTATTTGCCGTATTTCTTTAGAACCCATAATATGTTTCGAGTATCGAGGAGAAAATTCAAGATTCCAGCCTTCTCTTCTGCATGTTCTATGCATTTTATACTTACAGTATTCATGTCTGATATCTCCTTCTCTCTTGCAGTTTTCGTGAAGTCTTTTTTTGAAGTTTTTTTTGAAATAACAAATTCGGCACAAAACGTTATGATCTGATTGTGCTATCTATAGTATTTCCATTTTCAATAACGAGTACTTAGTTTAAAATAGCCATCAATAAGGCTTTTAATCCTCGAAACGGAAGTTTTGAAGAGAAGATGATCTGATTAATGTAAGCCTCGTATGAGATCGGAGCTTAGGTTCGTTAACTTTATAGATTAAATCTGCTGAGGTTAGGGTGGTCACCAAAGTTGTATAGTTTTTCGGTAGTCTTCGTTGCCAGGAACAGATCAACTTACAGTTCTTGGAGTTCCGAGTGGACCAATACGATAAGCCGACCTTGGTCTGCTAAATCTCCGGTGCTTCGCAGATTTATCTCGAAAACCTTCCACTTCATCCCATCCACCGCACCGTCTCGTTGCCCATGGCGCGCAGCGATCAAACCGCAAGTGGGTAAAGCCTCAAGCCCCCATGTGAAATAAATGCGATTTTTCTGAAATTTCAGCGGCTGAGATCTTATAATTAGCGGCTTTGTTCCCAGCCTGAGAGTTTGTTTCCTAATTCCAGCACTTCTGCCATACCCCCCCTCCCCCGTTATTTAAATATTATTTGCGTATTTTAACGACGGAATTTAAGTTATGATCGATGATTACGTCGAACGAGGGTACGGAAATAAAAAAAAAATTACCTAAGAACCGATCACTTTTGGAGAGAGGTAATCTTGTATTGCTACCAAATACAATTTTAGAAGCCTCATCTGCATTCATCTCTTTATCCAAATTGTCCTGAAGTTCCCTCGAAAAAGCGCTCCGACCATGAACCTGCAGTTTTTATGTTGAGATCATCAGCTTAGTTTCCTAATCTATTTAAGTCTTCATTGACGGATAAAATGGCCTGACTTCCGTCACCATCTTAACAATTGAGCGAAATCCGCGGATCGTAAAATGAGATCTAAAGTTATTGGCTAATGAGCTCTACTTATGTTGTGACACTGCAACGGAACGCTTTTTCCCCCTAGTGTTTCAGGGAATCAAGTTTTGCTGATAAATCAAATTTCAGCTAAAATGAAGAAAAAGATGATATGCTGAATCCAACCCACTCAGATCCTTCGTCTTGAATTGGTATGATCTAAGAGGAATGAATGAGATTCTTTTGGTACAAACCTGTTATCATCTTCAATTCCCCCCCTCCCACTCCATTTGACACCTATATCTATAATATATCTGTCTCTGCCCATATCTATATGTTTATACCTAAAATGCTGAAAAATCCGCAAACGACTATCTATAGCCTCTTTATGTGCTACATAATAGTCAAACGTCACACATAATGAGAACCAAAGGGTTATCGAGTCAGGCACCGGAATTTAGAGCTAATGCATATTTTTTTAGTCAACTTTCCTGCGATATTATCGGGATTTTACATCTTGCATAAATAAAGTATGGAGATATGCACTTATCACACGAGGGGTCCATATACACTTTATGGTTTACTTATAGTGGCAGGTATGGAAAGCTCCTGCAATATTTTCCCAAAAATACTAAAATTACGAGTAATTGAACAGTGACATTGTCTAAAAATGACACGATTTCTTCGCAAACTTTCGCAGGAGACACACAAATAAAGATAAAAATGTCTGTATTTTGGTAAAAAATCTAATGGTTTCAAACCGATTTTTGTTCACAGGCGAGATGAAGCTACACATATTCCGAGTGATAAAAATGCGGTAGCCAAAACTTCTGGACAATTATTTTACCGGCAACAGGAAATAATTCTGGTGAGTATATGAAATACTGTGCACTTTATAAGGAATTTTATAGTATTGTATACAATGTAAGTCTTGAAGAAGTTTCGACTTTTTTATACCGATTGACCTATTTGACAATAAAGATGGTTCTNTTCTTGGGGGGGGGGGGGGGGTTAAACTTACCATTTACAGGCTTCAACAACGAAAAATTTCTGAATAACTTCGTAAATAATTTAATATTGAAATCATCTCTGAGAGCTTTCCTGTATGATTTTCCATACTTTTTCTGGGAGAAATGAGCGAGTGTACGGGACTAAAATCGCGGAAAACACAATTATTTTATTGAACTGCCTGTGAACGAAATTTATATTCAAATGTAAGGAAAATATGGTGGAGGACACCTATTTTCACGAGAAGTAACAGCGCCTCGCGTATTTCTAGAGGGAACGAGAAAATGAATTACGTTTATTGACAGAGAAGAAGATTCGTTGATCCGCAGTGTTATTTATGAACTGTTTGTTGTTTGCTTCGACCGTGAGAATCTTTTCGGGTAAGGAAGGTTAAAAATATGGGTATACAAGGTTCCCCGAGCTCGGTATTTATAAGATTATGAATGGATTAAAAATACCTGCGCATAATATACGGGGCCGCGCTCTAATAAATCAATTTTGTTAAATTATATTTCCAACGCACCGCGCCACGCTCTCACCCGCACCCTTTCGGATTACTCATCGTCAGATCAGACGGGAAATCTTCGCATTTTCCGTCTAATCCAGTGCATAAATCTTCGACTTTCGACGGAATCCGGCATTTCGCCGCGGAATAAATTTCAAAGGTTTCCAGGACGGCACCTTTTCGCACCAGTATAACTCTACACCGAGCCTTCCTGCATAGCCCACTGCCTTGCGAAAAACTTTAATTTATAATGAATTTAAGATCGAGCAAGCTTGACTCTACTTACTCGCCGCCCTCCCATAAATCATTTGATTCCATCAAGTTTTGGACCCGGAAACTTTGCATCAGGTTCGAAGAAAACAGTACCACGCGAAATTATGTCAACTTCATAATGAATTTAACGCTGAAACTCAAATTTAAAGCGCCCAAGTACTTCCCTGCTCAACTTCTGAGGAATAACGCACGAAAGGGTGTGCCATCTGCGTGTGTTGACATGCACTAGAGATGAGGAAAGGAAAACACTTTTTGAGTAAAAGTTCAGAATCAAGGTTTCTGCTGACGTCAACTTACTTTGCCATTGATGTGCTCGAATGGAATTCTTGAAATCCTCTCCTTTTAATCATCATTATTTTTCAAAGGGTAAAACTCTAGGGTTAATGAAAGATAAAATGTTTTCCAGTGCCATTTTAACCCATAGAAACAAAAAGAAGTAATTTATTAATGTATCAGACATTTTTTCCCATCCATCAATATTAAAAAAAGATAAACTTTATGTATATTTTTCACTTAACAAAATTGATCAACTCAAAATAATACACTGAAAAAACACATGAAAGAACCGGGGTACAACTTAAAATTTTCTTTTCAGGGTCTACACCCCGTTTTTTATGTATGTTTTTTGTGTCGTATACTTTTCTATCCTTTTTTTCTTTCGTCTTCATTGGTTTGAATGTAAAAAGATGCATCTTCGTCGCGGTCTCAGCGTGTTTCAAAAGTGCCGCTCTTATTTTATTTCTCAAGAGAATTTTACTGAGATTCAGACTTTGACTTTGTCAACTAAAATTTTGGAATACAGTCTTTAATAAGCAAAGAATTTTAACACAAATTCTATGCACGAACTTGATCAAGATTGACGAAAACATTAGTGCTGTATTAAAGTCTCAAAAGTATACGCACAGACAGAGTTTGTCAGAATGGAACCAGTTGCACAAAAACACCTATCCCGTCTGAATTGGGAAATCAATGGCAGCAACTTGGTTTTCAAATAAAATAAAAAAATGGAGCAGGTCTTTGAACCATCATGCTTATATTATAATCCTAAGAACAAATTAAGACCGTGCATTTGATGAGCTTATGAAGCTCAAAGCTCAAGAAAAAAAACTTGCAATTTCTCAATATGGCCCAACGCAAACAGAGTGCAGCATTTGCATCGTAGGTGAAAACATTACGTTTTCTAGAGGGTTAAAAAGAATATGTATGAGCAAAAAAAAATATTTTCGCGGAAGGATTTTCTCGGAGCAGCTAGGAATTCCTCTTTCGTACCTTTGCACATTTTAAACGTAAAGAAAACTGGATTTGAACATCAAAGTTGATTGACGTCATTCTCTTTGAAATCAGTCATAACACTAAACCGCCCTTAAAGACGATAAAAGTAATGCAACGGCACTTCTATGATGATGGAAGGGGGGTTAACTGGGGCGCTGGGCCGCAACGCGAGATGATGACAGCCTAAGTCTAGCCCTCGCGAAAATGAGAAGGAAAGCCACAAATCTTATTATCTGATTGTTCAGGCGGCCAAGTTCGTGGTGCTCTAACAGTAACGTTGCCAGATTATAGACAAAAATACTATTACTCCTGTTGATTCAATGACTGGAAATGGTATCAGCACTGGAATGACGATTTGACTACCGCGGAGGGCACTGCCGTGGGCCAACGGGCCCATACGTTCGTAATGGAATAACCTGAGATGGGTAAAGCAAGAATGCGACCGCACTGGTCTAATAAATGCAACCGAAATATCAGGATCGCGTTCCTCGCGGCTTGAATGTAGGAATTTAAGAGCTAATGTATAGCTTCCTGCGTTCCTTCGATGCATCATTGTTCGTATTCTCGACTCTCAAATTCTACAGTGTGGTCAAGCAGCTTTCTCTGGGTGTCGTTCGAGCATAAACTTAACAATATTCGGATGTTTCATTATTAGTTTTTCGCAGCTTCGTTAATTGTCTTTAGAATTAGTATGGTACAATGCTTTAGATGCGCACTTCCCCGAAAAAAATTTCATGTGACAGATCAGCAAAACAGCATAAAAGAGATTCACTCGTTCCCGGCGAGTTGAAAGATTTGAAAACTATCACATTTTTTCGTGTAGCACACATTTTGACTCGTATTTAGGATATCAAAAACGATTTGGTCTCAAAAATCCCATTCCAAGGACGTTATTTTAGACGCGGCATACGAGCAAGTAGGTCGACTTTTTGGTATCGGGGGGAGGGGGCTGGGTATACATAAACCTTATTCGGTTCAATTTAATCCAAATTTTCTTTCAATCTTGTACTTTCTTCCTGTAATCTCAGAAAAAAAAATAAAAAGACGCTCAATAGTTATTCCGAATGTAAAGAGGGATTTTTTGGAGAATTAGAAGACAAATTGCAAGGACCTCGTCATTTTCGGCAATTTTTACTGCTCTGGTGGTAAGTTCAAAAATCCTCCGGTCAAGTTCAAATTTTTTTTGATTGGTAATACTAATGCTAGGCGCCACGAGAAAAACTCGGGGAAATAATTTTTATTTTTCGATACTTTTGGAGAATCGGAACACCCTATTACAAAATCGTCACAGTTCATATAAGTGGCTGTAGACCCGACTGGGATAAAAGTCATAAACAAAAATATTTACATCCATATTTTATGAAAAATGCATATCACATGAGTTACAAATTACACCAACGGCTGTGCATTTGTGCCTGCGTTACATGCATTAACGTCCCTGTTCCCTCGTGGTTTCAGTTCACATGTGACTAACATTATAATTTGTAATTTCATGAGGCAGGTTTATGCGTTACTGATTTAAAAGGTCGATTGCTTAATGAAACTGGAGTCGCTGTCGTTTTACATCCGACTCATTGCACTTAGCTTCCCAGTTTCTTTTTTTTAAAAAAAAATCAAATATACATTTCAAAGTTCAGAGTGATATTCATGTTGTTGGGTTTTTTTTCCCCCTGTTTTACTTGTGAGTCTATCTTCAATTAACATACCAGCGTTATTCATCACAGCCGTACATTTACATAACATGCACAAAATGTCAGACTTTATAAGGTCACGGTAAAAATCACTACTTTTAATCATGCGCCCCCAGCCTATTCTGCCGAGTTAATGTTATCATACACGTTGATTACGAAGCCCTTTTATTGAGGTTTTGTGGGGCTTTTAAGTATTGGATTTATTTTTAAAAAATAACAGAGGAAAAAATGAGCGGAGAGGAGAAATCCAACTACGTTGTTTTATGAAAAGGATACGAGGAAAAACACGAGTCAGTTGTCATGTATTTAGTTGTGAATTCGGTCGAGAGTCTAGAGGTAGTCAGAGCGCTTACTCGTGGGATGAAATCTCTGGTTTACGTTAGAGTTAGTGTAGTTTTAAGAGTTCTGCTGAGTTGATGCAGGGTTCCAGGGGAGGGAGAATGTCACTGTCGCTAGGGATGACGGGGGGTAGCTAACACGGGAACAGAGAGCTCAGCTTCCTTATCATTTCTGGTTAATGTAGTTCAGGACCCATTTGCCCCCGCTACGCGCTCGCTGCAATATCCCTTGTAATTGCTCTTCAAAGGCCAAATGTTCTCACTTAACCTTACTTTTTATTTCATGTGCTTTTGATTCTTTTCTCGGTCTTCCTGAACGCCCTACGTGTTTGAATGTGTTTTTGACCACTATCATGATAGGATTTCAAGTACCATGCACGTTCACCTGTAGATTCAAACTGTACTTAACTGCTTCCGGTGCAATCATCTCCTTAAAAAGGAAAAACGAAACTGACTATCGATGCAAAAAGCTTGTAATTTGCAGCTATTGTGCGAAAACGGACGCACTATAGTATTATGTACTATTGAACGTTTTGATGTTTCATTCATTTCTCTTTCTTATTTGTTTTCACAACACTACAGGATTAATTTTTCATGTTTTCTATACGGCTTATTTTATAATTCCTATAAACCCAGGATATCTCATTCAGCAGGAAAAATCTGAACGATCATTTGTTGCAGATCTATTATGTGAGTTATATGTTTCGGTTTGCAGATTATCCCCCACAATTTACTCTTTAGACTGATGACTAATCATGATCAATGTACAAATTTAGGCGAT